CGATAGCTACTCCTTGCTGCTGCCGATTTTTTTTTCTTTCTACGTTTGGAGGGGGGAGGGGGAGGGGGAGTAACCAAATTAGAAACATTTGAACAGAAATGGGGCTGTAGAAAGAACACTGTATTCCTATTTCATTTCGTTCGATGGTATTAAAGAACGCTAATACTTTGTGCTTAGAAGGGTGGAAGCTCAAACACATACCAAACACTCCTCTTTTCAATTCGTGGCTGATGTTCTTTGTTATTGGAACCCAAATTGAAGAAGAAGAAGAAAAAAATGTCATAGAAGACATGTCAGAAAAAGATGGGAAGCAAGAAAAGGAAAGGGAAAAAAATAAATACCGCAGAGGTTGCGTATATTTATAGCTCTGCAGAGAAAGAAACAAACAAGAGCAGCTTTATTACTGTTCACGTCTTCTCACAGAGAGATTCGAGTGAGTGGCCTCCCTTGCTTTTCTGACACGCTGTGTCTGGCTTGTTTTTGGGGGGAGGAGGGAGAAGGGGGAAAGTGGGAAAGAGAAAGAGAGAGAGAGAGAGAGAGAGAGAGAGAGAGAGAGAGAGAGAGAGGGGGCTGATTGAAAACTGGGGAATTTGAGGATGGAGAATGGGGAGAGGGAGAAAAAAAATAGACGGGAAAACGCGGGCAACAACGTAAAAATTGTTGAGAGAGTTGGAGAGAACCAGAAACGAACTTTCAGGACGGTTGTCTGACTTCCTGCCAGGTTGCGTTTCCTAACCCCCTTCGCCTTTCTGCTTCTGGGCTCATTATTTACATAATATTTCCAGGAACCCCTCGCCCAAAGCAAGCCCACCACTACCCACCTAACATTCTCACACTCTTACGTGCACCCCCTCCCCCCTTCCCCTGCTTTCCAAGACTAAAGAGAAACAGTTGCGTCTTTTTTAGCACAACTGCGTGTATCGCGTGTCTGCGGTTGTTTCATTTTTCTTCCACTTATTTTTTTTGGTTTTTGTTGGTTTGTTTGTTTAAGCAAAAGACCTTTGTTTGAAGTCAAAGGGAGCCTTTCCATTTTACATCCCCGTTTGTGATCAAAAGTTTCTGGAAAGAAAGAGAAAGAAAGGAAAAAACCAAGACGACAAAATACACACACACACACACAC